CTAGTGAAATCTAGAGAGTGTTTTCATTTTCAATCTTGAAAAATAAAAAATCAATACCAGAATCTAGCAGGAAACACTAGAAAACATGCTAAAGCTTTTCTTATTTTCTAAGATCTTCTAAGATCTCCCTTTTAAGCTTGGCGAGTGGTACTCACCAGCTGGCTAATTAATTAAGCGACGTCATAAGTTGCGGATGGTAGTCTGGGTAATTAATCCTGCTAATGACCTGGAAACTGATGAACGTAAAAGAGCTAATGAAAGTATGGTTGGTGGAAGTGGCAGTCAGAGGCTTGTGAGGAGTTTGTGAGCTGCCTGAGTCGTGATTCTGAGTCGCTCTTAATGGACGGAGAATTGAGCCTCAACCACGAATTTAGCGATTTTTATAATAATGATGAGGATGATTATGATAATAATAATAATAATAATTATAATAATAATAATAATAATAATAATAAAATAATAATAATAATAATAATATAATAATAATAATATTAATAATAATAATAATAATAATAATAATAATAATAATAATAATATAATAATAATAATATAATATTATTATTATTATTATTATTATTATTATTATTATTATTTTATTATTATTATTACTAGTCCTGAAGGCGAATAATAATAATAATAACTATGGGGGATAACAAGTAAACTTGGCTCTCACTGGCAGGGATGATTATAAGTAAGCTTGAGACTCACTTGAATTATATTATAATAATAAGTACTTGAATTATTAAATAATGATCTGTACTTGAATTATTATATAATAATCTGTACATTAATTATTATATAATAAAGCGTACTTGCAATATATTATTCTAATCAGTACTTGAACTAAGTGTGATAGTGAAGACAAAGTGTCGTAGTGTTGGTAGAAGTGTTGGCAGTGGTGGCGGGAATAGTGGTGTTGGCAGTGGTGGTGTTGTTGGCAGTTTTGGTGTTGACAGTGGTAGTTAGAGTAGTGGTGTTCGCATTGGTGGTGGGAGAAGTGGTGTTAGCAGTGATGGTGTTGGCAGTGGTAGTGTTGGCAGAGGTGGTGTTGGCAGTAGTGGTGAGAGTGGTGGTGGTGTTGGTAGTGGTGGTGTTGGCAGTAGTGGTGAGAGTGGTGGTGTTGGCAGTGGTGGTGTTGCTGTGGTGGTGTTGGCAGTGGTGTTGTTGGCAGTGAAGGTACTTGCAGTGGTGGTGAGAGTAGTTATGTTGTTGGCAGTGGTGGTGTTGGCTGTGGTGGTGTTGGCAGTGGTGTTGTTGGCAGTGGTGTGTTGGCAGTGGTGGTGTTGGCAGTGTTAGTGTTGGCAGTGGTGGTGAGAGTAGTGGTTTTGGCAGTGGTGTTGTTGGCAGTGGTAGTGTTGGCAGTGGTGGTGTTGGTAGTGTTGTTGTTGGCAGTGGTAGTGAGAGTAGTGGTGTTGGCAGTGGTGGTGAGAGTAGTGGTGTTGGCAGTGGTGGTGAAAGTAATGGTGTTGGCAGTGGTGGTGTTGGCAATGTTGCTGGGAGTAGTAATGTTGTTGGCAATGGTGGTGTTGGCAGTGGTGTTGTTGGCAGTGGTGGCGGGAGTAGTGGTGTTGGCAGTGTTGTTGTTGGCAGTGGTAGTATTGGCAGTGGGGGTGTTGGCAGTGTTGGTGCTGGCAGAGGTGGTGAGAGTAGTGGTTTTGGCAGTGCTGGCGAGAGTTGTGATGTTGGCAGTGGTGGTGAGAGTGGTAGTGTTGACAGTGGTGAGGCTGGGAGTGGTGGTGTTGGTTGTGGTGGCGTTGGCAGTGGTGGTGTTAGCAGTAGTGGTGAGAGTGGTGGTGCTTTTGGCAGTGGTGGTGTTGGCAGTAGTGGTGAGAGTGGTGGTGTTGGCAGTAGTGGTGAGAGTGGTGGTGTTGGCAGTGGTGATGTTTGCAGTGGTGGTGGGAGTAGTGGTGTTGGCAGTGGTGTTGTTGGCAGTGGTGGTGAGAGTAGTGGTGTTGGCAGTGGTGGTGTTGGCAGCGATGGTGTTGGCAGTGGTGGTGAGAATGATGATGTTGGCAGCGGTGGTGTTGGCAATGCTGGTGTTGGCAGTGTTGGTGAGAGTAGTGGTGGTGTTGGCAGTGGTGGTGTTGGTAGTGGTGGTGTTGGCAGAGGTGGGAATAGTGGTGTTGTTGGCAGTGGAGGTGCTGGCAATATTGGTGTTGGCAGTGGTGTTGTTGGCAGTGGTGTTGTTGGCAGTGGTAGTGTTGGCAGTGGTGGTGTTTGCAGTGGTGGTGATTGCAGTGGTGGTGAGAGTAGTGATGTTGTTGGCAGTTGTAGTGAGAGTGGTAGTGTTGGCAATGGAGAGGCTGGGAGTGGTGGTGTTGGTTGTGGTGTCGTTGGCAGTGGTGTTGGCAGTAGTGGTGAGAGTGGTGGTGTTGGCAGTGGTGGTGTTTGCAGTGGTGGTGGGAGTAGTGGTGTTGGCAGTGGTGTTGTTGGCAGTGGTAGTGTTGGCAGTGGTGGTGAGAGTAGTGGTGTTGGCAGTGGTGGTGAGAGTGGTGGTGTT